CTCGTGCTCGCTGTGGCCTGGGGGTATCTGGGGCAGGGCCCCTGCTCCGGTTCTGCCACCTTGGCAGCAAGTGCGGCAGCAGCTCTGCCAGCTCCTCCTTGCCCCTGCACCACTTTGCAGCATCTTTAGGGTTGAACGGGAGTTGTCAGTTCAGATGGCAGCAGAGCTGTCTCTTGGGGGACGGGGGCCTCCAGCAGCAGCTCTGCTCTCTAAGGCTGAGCTGCGCAGCCCTGGGGCTCCCCTGCTGCGGGGACCTGCTGTGCCCTCCAGCACCCTTGCAAGCTTGCGCTGAGGCCCCCAGGCTCTGCACCCTTGTTTGGAGACCCCTCGCTAATGCTTTTCCCCCTCCTGGTTCTGCCTTTCAGGAGGAAATTGCCAAGTACGATAAGATCTGCGAGGAGGCCCACGCGAGATCCAAGGATGAAAAGATCTTGCACATCAAGCACTGGCTGGACTCACCCTGGCCTGGTAAGTCACTAGCAACATTTCGGAGGTCCTTAGCAAAGAGCCTGGCTTCTCTGGAGCTGTGGTAGCTATTTTCTAGTAAACCACCCTGCTGGGGAGGTGAGGTGGTGCTCCCTGCTCCTGGCATCCCCGCCCTTGCTTGAGGGTGTCTGGGACCTGAGCTCTTCACACAGAGCTGGGCACGGCTCCCACAACACGGCCGACTGCTCCTCCTCTTGCAGGTTTCTTCACTCTGGACGGCCAGCCCCGGAGCATGACCTGCCCTTCCACCGGTCTGAACGAAGAGGACTTGACGCATATTGGTCAAGTGGCCAGCTCGGTGCCGGTGGAGGATTTCACTATCCATGGAGGTAGGAGCTTGTGGAAGCTATGCCAGACAGAGCGTTTGTTCCAGAGAAGATGTGGGATAGGGCTGGAAGGTGGCCTGGAAGGGAAGGGACCTGTTACAGTGCTTTGATATATGTGGCCAGCAGGGCGAGGAAGGGGATTCTCCCCCTCTACTCGGCTCTCCTGAGACCCCCCTGGAGCGCTGCGTCCAGCTCTGGGGTCCCCAGCACAGGAAAGATATGGACCTGTTGGAGCAGGTCCAGAGGAGGTCCAGGGCTGGAACAGCTCTGCTGAGAAGAAAGGCTGAGAGAGCTGGGGGTGTTCAGCCTGGAGAAGAGAAGGCTCCAGGGGGACCTTACAGTGGCTTTTCGGTATATAAAGGGGGCTTACGAGAAAGATGGAGAGAGACTTTTTACCAGGGCCCGTAGAGACAGGACAAGGGGTGAGGATTTTAAACTGAAAGAGGGTAGGGTTAGATTGCACATAAGGAGGGTGGTGAGACACTGGGCCAGGTTGCCCAGAGAAGCTGTGGACGCCCCATCCCTGGAAGCGTTCAAGGCCAGGTTGGACGGGGCTTTGAGCAACCTGATCCAGTGGAAGGTGTCCCTGTTGGACTGGATCATCTTTGAAGGTCCCTTCCAGCTCAAACCGTTCTGTGGGTCTACGAGAATTAGTTCATGAGGGAGCTGTGGTTAAGGGAAGTGAACTGAGGAGTAGCTCTTCTTTGGAGCTGATCCTTCCCTGCAGTCCTCATTCCTTGTCCCTGGTTCATCCCTCCGGCAGAGGTGGATTCGTTCCTCTGCCCCTGGGCATCTGCAGTCTGTCAGTCCGTGGGCAGGTTGTGGGACAAGCGTGGTGTTGCTGGAGCTCCCTCCCGCCCCAGCTACGAACCGGCTTCTGTCCCGGCAGGTTTGAGCCGTATTCTGAAAACCCGTGGGGAGATGGTGAAGAACCGGACGGTGGACTGGGCCCTGGCAGAGTACATGGCGTTCGGCTCCCTGCTCAAAGAGGGCATCCACATCCGCCTGAGCGGCCAGGACGTTGAGAGGGGGACGTTCAGGTAAAGCCGTGCTTTTGGTGGCCGTAAAAGCGATTCCAGCCTTTCCAGAAGGCATCTGAAGGGTGACGATGGAGTAACGCTTTCCCTTCTTCCAGCCATCGCCACCACGTCCTGCACGATCAGAATGTGGACAAGAGGACCTGTATCCCCATGAACCACCTCTGGCCCAACCAGGCTCCTTACACCGTCTGCAACAGCTCTCTGTCGGAGTACGGCGTCCTCGGTGAGCAAGGAGGACTGCATCCGCCAGCTGGGGGGGTGAGGCTGCTCCGGGAGGATAACCCTCTCGCTTCGCTCCCATCCCTCAGGATTCGAGCTGGGCTTCGCCATGGCAAGCCCCAACGCCCTGGTGCTTTGGGAAGCCCAATTCGGGGACTTCCACAACACCGCTCAGTGCATAATCGACCAGTTCATCTGTCCCGGGCAGGCCAAGTGGGTCCGGCAGAACGGCATCGTCTTGCTGCTTCCTCACGGCATGGAGGGCATGGTAAGGACCCTCCCAGCTCGCGGGCACCCAGGGGTGCACCAGAAGCAGAGCCGAGGGCAGTGGTGGCAGGTAGCACTGCTCCTGGCGTGGCTGTGCGCGGCATCAGCTTCTTGCACCAGCCTTGCCCCCACCACTCACTCTTGCCCCTGCTTGGTCCCCGCAGGGTCCCGAGCACTCCTCCGCCCGCCCAGAACGATTCTTGCAGATGTGCAATGATGATCCCGATGTCTTCCCCGTGAGTGGCGGCCGCGCTGAGCTCAGCCCGGCCCTCCTGTGTCCCGGATCCGACCGCTGCCTTGAAATAGGGAGGGGGGCAATAACGCTGGGTGGGCTCAGCGCAACACCGCGGTCGGGGCGGGTGTCGCAGAGCCGGTAGCAGGAGGCATGGGACGCCCTGGGCTCGTGCTGCAGCAGGGAGGGTTTGGGGAAGGGGCTGAACCTGGTGGCCAGGCTACATCGCCGCTGCCCCTAGGGCTGCTGCATGGCGTGAGGCAGAGGTGTCCCCAAAATGGCGCGGGAGGGGGCTGCTGGCCACCCCTGTGGCCACCCGAAGGTGGGGGGCACCGACCCACAGCCTCTCCCAGGTCTCTGTGTGCTCTGGAGGGGGAGAGGAGGGAGGGAGGGAGGAAGGGCTGGGTGCCGCTCTTCTCCCCACTACCGGAGCTGGGAGGCCAAGAGGCACCTTGTGTTTCTTGAAATCCCCCTCACCGCGCTCGCTGAGGCAGAAACTGGACGACTTCGATGTGCGCCAGCTCTACGACTGCAATTGGATCGTCGTGAACTGCTCCACTCCAGCCAACTTCTTCCACGTCCTCCGGCGCCAGATCCTCCTGCCCTTCCGCAAACCGGTCAGTGCTGGCAGCTCCGCGCCGGGCTCGGTGCCAAGGCAGGGCAGCCCCGTGTCCCTTCCAAGCCTGGGGACGGGACTCAGCGCGGGCTTGTTTTGGCACCTCGGCAGCAAACACTGGCACTTTGCCTCTGCCCGGGCCAAGGACCTCTTGGTGCTCGGGGTTGGTTTGGTACACGTCGTGCTGCCGGCCGGCTCATGTGGGCTGGGGCGGCTGCAAGCCCTTCCTGCGCCCCATGGGGAGGTCAGAGATGTCGGGGCCGGCGGGTGTCAGTAGATAACCCGGTCCAGCCCCTTGCCTTCACCTGCGGCTGTGGGGCAGGCAGGTCCCTGGCAGCACCTCAGCATCTTCCCTAGGGGAACCCAGACTGGGAAACCCGGCGCTGTCGGAAAGCGGTGGCTGATCTGGCAGAGTGTGGCATCCGAGCGAGGAGCAAACCTCTCGGGGCAACTCCTGCGCTCGGGCAGGGGAGGGCAGGCAGGATGGGCAGGTCAGCGCTCTGGCTTTTGCTTGCAGTGGGGTGTTTCTGGTGAGGCTGACCGCCTCGCTCTGCCTCTTCTCCCCCCTCCAGCTGATAATCTTCACTCCAAAGTCGCTGCTGCGCCACCCCGAAGCCCGCTCCAGCTTCGACGACATGCTGCCAGGTACGGGCAGGCGTCTGTTCGCACCCCGTGCCGCTCTGCGGGATGAAGGGTGAACGGCAGGAGCCGGCCACCTCGGCTAAAGTCTGCCTGGCAGCAGCCTCCCCGTGCCTAAGAGCAGCTGAGCGAGGCTGATGCCGCCGGCATCGCAGGCAGCCTGTGCGGGAAGCTCTGCTCCGGCGTGGCAGGCACGCTGCCTGCCTTCCCTCCCCGCTCCCCTCCAGCGCCAAGGCGGTGTGCTCGCCCCTGCCACGGCTGGAGTGTGCCGGCTGCGGCCATCTGCCCAGCAAATGGGAGCCACCCCTTGTTAGTGCAGAGTCTGGCACCCTGGGGGGACATGAGTCGGCTTTGCCGTGATGCTTCCTCCATCGGCAGCCGCTTCCCGCCGGAATGGCGTGGCTGGGGTTTGGCAGACCCAAGTCCCACAGAGCTGTGATGGTTTGTACTGGGAGCCGGACCCAGTACAGCTGGTCAGGCTCTGCCTCTCCGGTTTGCCTGCCCACTGGGGTCCCAGGAGGGGTGGGCAGGGGACGCGGGTGCAGGCAGCTGCTGGCGCGGTGCCCCAGGCTGCTGTGGGTGACAGTGCCGTCCTCTCTCCTGGCAGGCACCCACTTCCTCCGCGTCATCCCCGACGACGGCCCCGCGGCCCAGAGCCCCGAGCAGGTCAAACGGGTGCTGTTCTGCACCGGCAAGGTCTACTACGACCTGACCCGCGAGCGCAAGGCCCGGCAGATGGAGGCTGACGTGGCCATCACCAGGGTGGAGCAGGTGAGCAGGGTCCGGCTGCCTCGGAGCCCGCAGGCTGGGGGTGCCGTGGGCCCCGTGACACCGCCGTGACACTGCTCTGTGTCCCCCGCAGCTCTCCCCGTTCCCCTTCGACCTCCTCCAGCGGGAAGCCCAGAAGTACCCGGCCGCTGAGCTGGTGTGGTGCCAGGAGGAGCACAAGAACCAGGGCTACTACGACTACGTCAAACCCCGGCTCCGCACCACCATCAACCGCGCCAAGCCCGTCTGGTAGGGACTCGGGGGGTGGCCGTGACGGGAGCCGGCGGCTGCCCCCGCCACCGGCAACAAGAAAACCCACCTGACGGAGCTGCAGCGGCTCCTCGACACCGCCTTCAACCTCGACGCCTTCAAGGACCTGGCCTAAGCGCCAGCCCGGCGGCGGCAGCATGCTCCCGTCTGTCTGTCTGTCCATCTGTCTGTCCCTCGCTCGCCTCCCCCCTCCCTCCTTAACTACAGACCTTGTAAAACCCCACGCTGGCGCCTGGAGTCCTTGTCTGGCTCGCGCCGGGGCCGGCGTCGGTGCAGCCACCGCGGCGGGCGAGAGGGGCCGGGAGCTGCCCCCGCTCTCCGTGCGGGGGAGACCCTCAGCCCCCCCCGCCCCCCGGAGGG